TTTATATTAACAATTTTCATATAAATACAAAGTTTTTATAATAATAAATCAAGGTAAACTGAGTGTGTTGGCTCATACCTTGAATCCCAACATTTGAGAGGCAGAGGCAGGTGAATTGCTGTGAGTTTAAGGCCAGCTGGGGCTACATAGTGGTTTTACTGCCACTGAACTACAACCTCTAGTTCCTCCTAAGGTAACTGTATTGTCATAAATCCTTCTTAAAGGAAAGTACATTGACGTGGGCTCTGTGGTTGAAGGCTGGAAACCAAGCATCTCTCTCTGGTTTACCAGCAAGACTTATAGCCACCAAATATCCAACTCTAAGAGTCTGCAGATCAAGTCAATAAACAAAAATATAATCATTCTATTGAACCCAAAGAGTCATTTGTAATTTTCTTAACATTCTAAACTAATGTCTCCATGATAATTTGCAATTTGAAAATGCATCAAGACTCCATTAAATTGGTGATGCTATTTTGTCCCAGATGTATTTAAAGTGACACAAATTCTACTCAAGCATGAAAGTCCACTATTCCATCAGAACTAAGAAGAAAATGTGGGAATAGAAAGATGACTCAGAAGTTAAGAGCACTGTTTGCTCTTGCAGAGGACCCAAGTTCAGTTCTCAGCACCCACATGGCAGCTAACAACCATCTGTAACTCCAGTTCCAGGGGATCTGATGCCCTCTTCTGACCTCCATGGGCATGGCATGGTGCACTTACATATGTGCAGACAATATACACATACACATAAGACTTTAAAAAAAATAGAAGAATGAAAATATTTCCAAGACCCAGTCTTATTTGCTGCAGGAAAGATGACAGAAAACAGACACTTGAACACAAAATGAACACCACAGGTTGTATACTTCTAAACACATTTTTGGAGAACAGACACTGCATGAATGGACAAGTAGTGTTACATAACTCAGGGCCCAGGAAGATTGGACTAAAATAAATCAAATGTTCCCAGTTTTTCACTCCAGTTCTTCAGGTAGAAGTTACGTACAGAGCAAAAACTCTTGTATATACCTGACCCACAAGTGCAGGATGCCTCCAGCTCTATCTCAGATCCCCACCTATCCTCTAACCTGTCTCCAAAGCATAGCACAGAGGTGCTCTACATATGTGACTCCACGCGGTTTCTCCTACTCCTGTTTTCTTTTGGCCTTACCAAAACACTTCTACTGATGAGCATTTCATTTTTAACCTATTCTGCATTAATTGATTGCGTATGTGAAGTATAAGTGAAATGTGGGGTGGTGGTATGAATGGATCTGTGAATTATGTGTGTGGAATATGTATGGAAGTGTGTGGGTGATGTGTGTTTGATATGTATGGATGTGTATGGATGGTGTGTGTGTATAATATGAACAGATGTGTATGGATTATGTGTGGGAATGCATGTGAACGGAGGAGTGTAGATGCCACGGTGCAGGTGTGAAGGTCAGAAGACAATCTCAGCATTAGTCCTCTCCTTCCACTTTGCTTGAGACAGAACAATTTGTTTCATTGTTGCTTAGGCCAAGCTAGCTGACTTTCCGGATTCCAGGACCTCTTCTAGCTCTGCTCCTGTCTTGCTAAAGGAGCACTGGGGTTACAGAGATGTGTTAGCATGCCTGCCTTTATTACGTGGGTTCTGGGGTTCAGACTCAGTCATACTTGTGTTTCAAGTGCATTACCCACTGAGCTATCTCCCAGCCCTGATACTGTTTTTGTCTTCTGCTACAAGGTTAGTTCCCTATGTAGCCTAGGCTGGCCTCAAACTCAGTCATCCTATGAGTCACCTCACCTAACTTGCACATTGATACTTTGTAAAATATACTAAAATAAATTACTATAAAACAAGGACATATAAAATATGTCTTCAAAGCAGGCGCTGCTATGTCACAGAAGTATCTTTTTCTTGTAACAGTTCCTAAGAACTTAATGTCTCCTTTGATACCTGTCATGAATCCACAGCAAGTCTTACCCTGAGCTGGTTCAGGGACCATGCTTTGTACAGCAGTGCCCTGGGCATCTGCTCATTGGGCACAGAACAGAATTCAATCAAAGACTTGGGGAGGCCTTTGGAATCCTGGTTTCAGTGCAAAAGCCAAGTTAGACTGTGAACAAAAGACTGGTTGGACAGCCCCCTCTGCAATTTGGCACAGTTAAATGCCTTCATCTAATAAGCGAGCAGCTTATGAACTTGTGCCATGCTTGAAGAGGAACCTTCAAAAGCTGACATCCTGTGTGATGGACATCATTTACCTATAGAGGAGACTTATTTCCTGTCAGTAGGATGGATTGCTCAAATTAAAACATGAATGATCCCCAATGTATTTCCACTTGCTCTACCTAGTAAATCAGACTCTGCTTTTCTTTATAAGCATATAACTCATTTCGATTCCCCTGTCTGATGAGAGGGGAGTTCCTTCTAAAGGCCACAGTACAGTGAGAGGAGGAAGCGAGGGAGTCACAGAATTTGGGGGAGGGGGGTCCCTTATTAATGGTATTATGTTGCTCAATTCTGATTCGGTTCCCACTGTCACTTCATTTGCTACTTTCCTCATTACTGTGATGGACTGTCTGACAGAAGTAACTTAAGAAAGGGAAGGCTCATGGGGCTGGAGAGGCTGCTTAGTGGTTAAAGGTGCCTCTGTGCTTCTAGAGGACCTGAGCTCACTTCCCAGTACCTACATTGGGCAGCTCACAACTGCTTGTGACCCCAGCACCAGGGGAATCTAACACCCTCTTCTGGCCTCTCTGAACACCCACCATGGCATACACACACACAGATGCAGACACATAGAGACACACAAGTACACACACAAATAAATAAATAAATAAATAAATAAATAAATAAATAAATAAATAAATAAAAATGAAAACAAAATCTTTAAAAAGAGAGGAAAGTTTTGTTGTGGTTTAAGGTTCCAGGGAGTACATTCCATCCTGGTGATGAAGGTGTGGAGGAGTTCATGGTGACATGGTGACAGGAATGTGGCTGAAACTTCTCCCATCTTAGTAGACAAAAACTAGACAGTGATCAGACCAAGAGTACGGTAGCGTCCTAACCCTAAAAGGCCCAGCTCCTGTGACCCACTTTCTCTAGCCTCACAGTTTCCACAACCTTCTGAAACACTACCACCAGATGGGGACCAAGTGTCCAAACATATTCAAACCATAAAACGCCATTACCCATAATTCCTTGTCCATTCTGGGTATCAAACGTGGGACCTTACACACAGGTGGTAAATACCCTACCACTGAGGTACCTCCCCAGCCCCACTCATAACTTTTGAGTCTGTGGAATAATGAAATAATGATCATAGTAGCAATTTTATTGAGACATTCATAAGTATCATGCTTTCTATGTGTGGCATCATTTACACAACCCAGTGGTCATTACCCTCATCTTAAATGTAGAAAAAAAATGAGGCTGGAGAAAGATAAAGAATTATCCAAGATGCTCTCCAGCTGGTGAGCATGAAAAAAGGAAATAAAAACAAAAACTTTAGTCTAACTCTAAAACCCATATTTTTTCCCTGCCTGCCTATAAGGCTGGTGGCTTCCTTATCTTGTTCATATCTAACAATCAACTTTAAAAAAGAGAAGAAGCAGGACCTGACAGCAAGGTGCTGGCCTGGCACTATCAGGAGGCTGAGCTGTGGAATGTAGCCTGGCATGTAGGTTCGGGACCCAGGCCACATTGCTATGTCCTGTCAATGTAAAGCAACTCCCAGGACACAAACATCAGTTACTATGGGACTACAAGAGGCTCATGAGAAGAAACTACGTTGACTCTTAGGTTGAGTGCTATAGTACATGCCAGAAATCCCAGATCTTGGGAGACAGAGGCAAGAGAGTACCTATAAGTTCAAAGCCAGTCAGGTCTACATTGTATGTTCCAGGCAAGTCTCAAAAAATCAAAAAGACAGACAAACAAAAAAGACTTCTATTTCAAAATCGGAGGTAACCACATACCAAACCAACCCAACAAACAAACACATTTAAGAAAACATTAACACACAAACCACAGGAATATCAAACTTCTCCCTCTTCTGGAAAATAAGAATAAGCACTATCTTGGTTTGAATGCTGAATGTCCCCCCCTACAGTCTGAGGCTTGGTCGCCAGCTGGCAACGCAACTTTGGGAGGTCCTGTGACCTTCTTGAGTTAGGGCCTAGCTAGAGGAAGTAGGTCACAAAAAGGAGTTTTGAAGGTTGTAGACCAAGCCCTATTCTGACCTCTCACTGCTTCCTGACAGGCCACACAAGCACACATGACCTCTGTCACACATTCCTACGACTATTTCATAACCTCGGCTACCAAGTCTTCCCAGCCATGACAGACTGAAGCCCTCTGAAGCCATGACCCAAAGTAAGTCTTTCCTTCCTCACATTACTTCCGAAACAAGGTGTGGCCACAGCAACAGGCACAAGTAAATGACTACTGTAACTACTAATTTGTTGTTTGTCAAATAACACTTCAGACTCATTTCATTCTTTCATCCTTCTAGATTAAGATTCACTGCTGGAGAGATAGCTCAGCAGTTAAGTGTACTGGCTGCTCTTGCAGAGGCCCAGGGTTAGATTCTCAGTATCCAAAAGGCAGCTAACAACAGTAACTCCAGTTCCAGGAGACCCAACACCCTCTTCTGAGTTCTGAGGGCTTTGCAGGACATGGGTACACTTACCTACATGCAGGCAATACACTTATATGCATACAATAAAAAAACTAAAATTAAAGATTTACAAAAATATCTAATTATGTAATTACTCTTATTCTCCAAAGCATTATTCAACAGCAAATGTTTGCTTCTCAGAACGTTTCCCCCAATCACTGACATAACCCCAAATCATGTGTCATTCTTAACATGTTTGTGTCAAGATAATCTCTGGGCTTCCAGAGCATGCCTTACTCTTCTTGCAACAAGCTACAGACTTGACATTTACAAACTTCAAACAGGGTCACCATGGTCTTGGTTTGGAAAACACTGTCAACTACAAATGTATGACTGTAGTCATAAATGGAAGTGTTTTCCTTTGGAGATGGTAGAGAGGACAGGATTGTCTTTCAGAACTGTGTATCTTCTTCCTCAGCCAATCCCTGTTTCTGGGTCAAACCACATAAACACACAAAATACAGCAGGGAAAAAAAGTTTATATGTACTTCATATACTTAATCTCTGGGACTGTCCTAAACTGCTATGGAAACATTCTGACCTCTTAGCTGCCTCACCCTGTCATAAGACTGTAACAGGCATCCAGAAGGGAAGACAGGTAAAGAAAAACTAAGCCTGCCACTTGGGTCTATTCCCTGCAAAGGTGCAGAAGGCAATTATATGTATGTCATCACTCGAGGAGCAATTGAAGAGTTGTGTCCATTCCAAAATATATTTCAGTGCTTTGAAATCACCAGAAATTTGTACATCCACTAACTACTGTCACTAACCAGAATTAAGAATCCAGATCCCTAGATGGCTCCTGTCAGACTGAAAATCTGGAGGTCATTGGTAACCATCAGTAGGGCAGAGAGCAGGAGTTTAAGAGTAACAGGTTTGTAGTCTAAATGGAGGGATAGTCCAATAATGAAAGAAATAAAAGGGAATTCAAAAAACAGTTTTGTTTTGTTTTTTTCTGAGTGAGAAAGACCAGGAGGGCTGTGCCATTACTCACAACACAGGGATGATGAATTCCCGCCATGTCAAACCCACAGAACCATCTGAAGAGCTGCAAGATTACTTCAGGAGGACCTGGTCATGGGGCTAAAGGTTTGTTCAGGTACCCGATTTTCACCCTTAGCCGGAATGATAAAAATCACTGAAGAAACCTCAAATTTGATCATAAAGAATTTTGTCTTCATTTTTAAAATAATGTACCTGCATTGCCGCATCAGGTCCTTAGAACCATCTGAATGTTTTTTGTTTGACATCTACAACGCTGACAAAGACTAAAAATATCTTGTGTCATGAGGGATTTTAGAGTGCTGTTAAAATGTTTCATGATTTAGGCTAATACAGTATCATTAATATTTCTAAGATGACTTAGGTTGACATAACATCTTCAAATAATCCAAATGACAATTTTCAAAACTGTATAATCCATTAGAAATTTAGTCCAGTAACTCAAACATTTGCATAATTCAGGTCTTTTTCAACACAATTTTTCCCTTGGTAAAATATTTTTTTTTTAGTTTCTCAGAATTTTAACATTAGTAACTTATATCTCTAGTAGCTATGAGAATTTGAACCATCTTCACATTATAGGTAGATTTTGTGTAATGTAATGCCAATCCATTTGTAATTCATGATTTTATTTAAAGTCATTATAATACAGCAATTGATTTAATTATCAAACATTATACAAGCAACCCTAAGTAGAAAGTCATTTCCTATGGGAGAGGAAAGTAACCATTTAAGTACTTTATTTGCAAATAGGAAGTGTACTTGCGTCATTGAAATTAGCAAAAATTAAGATCTTTGAAAGAAACTGGAAAAGAAAAAAGAAAAAGCTAGTGAACAGGGGCTGACTTTACGTCTACAGCGTGATGTATTTTGCTATTCTGACATTCACAGTTAGGTGCCTTGTTACTAGTTATGAAAATAATCATATAAAGTCACATGATGTCAAAATGGATTATATTGTATCTGGATTTAAACATCCATTTAGAGATTTCCAAATCACTTAGGGTATTCTATACACAGTTACACCTAGTAATTTATTAACTATGCATTCCTGTAAAGAGGTTAGCAATGAGCTTGCTTCATGCAGCTCGCTATAGTAACATTGTACGAGCAGTTCCTTTAAGATGTTGAAAATTAGGCTATGAATATAACCACTTCAGAGGCTGTCAAATACATCACAATACACTACACACTAATGGCAAGCTTACATTTTTAGACCTTCATTTTAGGGCTTCTTAATTATTAATATGACACTGATTCATTTATCTCCTTTGTCAAGACTACAAATCTACCACATTGAAGATTACACAAAAAGTCACAGAACAGCACCTCTCAAAAAATCATAATTAATACTGACTTTCTAGTTCTTACATTTAAACTGAAGCAAAATATGAACAGCAAGAAAAATATATAAGCAATGGGCATCGTGCACCAAATTGTGTCCTTGTTTTTTCTATTGGTTTCAAACTGTATTTTAACGTTTCTCATTTTTCCTTCCTCAAATCATAGTCTACGAACAAAGTGAAGATAGAGAAGCCCTACAAAGGCATCTTTAAATTGTTTTTAAAGATCATTTATTAAGTTAATGTAGCAATTTACCCCTGTGTAACCTTTGGTTGCCAGATTTGGATGCTATTCTATATATGCAAAAATGTGATATGGATCCCTTGTTGAAAGCTATATAATTCTAATGAGGAGATCAAAATATCTCTTGCTCACAGCTCTGACCTAGATTGGACATTAATTTTTCCAGACACATATACAGTCACCTTAATTATATTACCTACAGTGATAAAATGATACTATATTGCCTACAATTGCAGAGAATTTCAACTGGTACTCAACGGAGTAAGTTTGCACAAACCTTTGCCTCCTCCCATAATGTATCCAACCATTAGCAAGGTGCAATGTGCAGTGGAATAAGGATATATATATATAACACATATACATCCAGTGAGGCCACTCATTGCACAACAGACCAAGGTAAAAATAGCTACTTCATGAAGTCTAATTTTCCACTGAAAGACCTCTAGTTAACTTACTGGCCTAATTCTATGCATTCCACTCCCCCCTCCACCCAAACCCATCTCCTCTGGATATATTGATGATTTGTCTGAGTTAGAGAAAGGGTCATGGATCGAAATTTCCGTTTCTCCCATCACTATCATTTTCATTAATTAGAACTTTGAACATTGGAATCATGCTTAAAAGGAAACTGCAACCAAGTTCCTCCGAGGAAGAGTACTGATGATCTTATTAACTCAAGTGTTCATTTACTGAACAAATATTAACTTCTGGTTATGCACAGAATTTGTGGAGAAGGGACTCAGAGATAATGAAGTCTTTTGAATCCACATGCTTTGCCCACAGGAGGACATTTATTACCTGCTGTGATGTCACTGGGTGATTTTCCTGGCTGCTGCAGATTCAGCTTAAGTTTCCCATCACTAAGCAAGAGAAGAAGACCACCTGAAACCAGTTGAAGTTCACTGAAGAGCAAAAGTCCTGCCTTATTCCACGTTCGAAATTGAAAACTGGCTGCAATCTCCTCCTCTTTGGAAAAGGCTGGTAGTAGTAAGTAACTCCTGGTACTCAGAAAAGTCAGAGGCACGGACTGTGGTTGTGAACAAGAAAATGACACATTTCCCTTAGAATAAAGCAAAAGAAAAGGCTGTTAGCATGCTACACTGGATATATAATCAAATTTAAAATACGAAGGCTCATGATCAATCTCACATTATTGTCACTTAAAAACAAATTGTTATTGCCATGAAAATCCAAATCTTTGTCAGATATCTTTTAAAATATTTTTATTGACTCTTTGAGACATTAATACAATGAATTTTGATCCTATTCATACCGCCTTCCCCATCTCTACCCCTTCCTCAGTAACCACTGATTTCATCTCCTCTATTATTTTTTATTAAATTTTCAGTTGTTTCTCAATATGATTGAGTTTTATTTCCTCTGTAGAATGTACAAACTTTTTTCAGTTTTTTTCAACTCCTAAGTTTAGTGATTTAGATCTCCAGTAAGTATGAAAATTCAAGTCATCTTTACATAGTAGAAAGACTTAGTATAATGTAATTCCAACGTACTTTGATCATATAGACCCCTTCTCTATCTGCACACCCCCCCTTAGCAATCCCCGCCTGATTTCATGTATCCTATCATATACAAATTTGACTGATAGGTCACATATCCTAAGATCTGCTTTCCCAGTCCTCTCTCTGTTTTTAAACCTTAATATAGACCTGCAAAGCCAAAGAAATAAACTATACTAAAAACAACAAACATTGGAGTGAAAAGAGTTGATCTTTTTCCAACAGATAAACAAAAGGGCTACGTTATGATTTGGTTAAAATGTGAACTTCTACTGTAAACAATGATGTTGTGTGTTGAGTGAGACAATAAAACGTTAAGAGTACACAGTGCTAAGGTACAAACTAACCTGTAGGGTGAAGGGAATTATGAGACTATGGAACCCCATGGGAATAGATGTCATGTGTTTTATTTGAGTAGCTGCCTCCTTCCTGGCCTACAAAGAGCAGGTCTCCTTGTCAATGAACAGTGGGTGAGCCTTGCAGGAGCATTGTGTTGAAACTCATTATTTTGGATGAACTGCACATACACACACACACGCACACACGCACACACGCACACACAAACGCACATCTGTCTATATTCTTTTCCCTTTAATAAACAAGTAATGAAATTAAAATCTTGCTGGATGTTATGATCCTGTAAAGAATACCAATTCACAGAGAATTAGAAATGAAATATTTTTCCATAATAAATATTCTTGTGATGTGCTCTGGGATTTGCTGCACAATGTGAGATTCAATTTACATATTTTAAATTTTAAGCAATGTAAGAAATTAATGAAAATCTATTTGTGGCTGCTCTGTATTATAAAAGTGGTAAAGCTGAAAAGTCCACTTCCTAGAACCTCCTTTTCCCTCTACTACTGGTCAAAAGTTGACTGAAGAGCTTGGGTGACAATGATTGTCAGGAAACACCAGCCATTTGCCCTGAGTGTTTTTGGAGATGGTGCACAGTGAAGTCTGGGGAGGCAGCAGGTTTGGGGAGGCAGCTCAGTCAGGAAAGTGAGTGCCTTGCTAGCAGGAAGACCTGGGTTTGCTCCCTAGAACCCTTATGAAAAATAAGTCATGTCTGAGTCAGAGGAGATGGACCAGTGATGAAAGCACTTGCTGTACAAGCCTGAGGACCCGAATTTGGAACCCTGACTGCAATTCCAAGTCAGAGTCATGGGTTCCACGGAGCAATCTGAGTTTGATTCATAGACCCCACCTCAATTGATAAGGTGGAAGTATTGTGAAAGATGATTTATGACATCAAAGCTAAGGCTATGCATGGATGTGCACTCACACACATGTAAAACATGCATATACACACATACACACATGAAGAAATTTAGGGGGGGATCCAGGCTTGGTTGTGCACTTACAGTCAAGGACTGTGGAGGAGGAGACAGGGGTATCGCTGGCCAGCTATACTGGCCCACTTCTCAAATACCAGGCCAGTGAGAGGCTCTGTTGCAAAAATCAAGGTGGACAGCACTTGAAGAATGACATCTAAGGTTGTCCTCTAGCCTTTACACACATGTACACACCTATGTCTGTGCTCCTGCATGCACGTAGTACCTCCCCTACACACACACATACACATACAGAGAGAGAGACAGACAGACAGACAGACAGAGACAGAGAGAGACAGAGAGACAGAGAGAGTGCTAAGATGCTGGTTTATCCCTCCATCCTACTCTGCCACATCTGTATCACCTCTTTCTCCTGATGGCCAGCCCAGTTGAGTAGCAGCAGTCCAAGTTGATGCCCAGCCCGGATGTTTGCCAGGAATTCGCAGGGATAGTGACCACCAAGAGGCAACAGCTCCCATCAAACCCTCAGAAAGCTTCCTGCATAAACCACAAATGCTCTCCAGAGCCTAACCCAACACTTACACCATGGCTCAGTGTTCTAGCTAACTTTTATTGCTATGACAAAGGCACTGACTAAAACCAGCCTGGAAAGGAAAGGGCTTGTTATACTCTTCCAAGCGACAGTCCATCACTGAGGGAAGCCAGGGCAGGAACTGAACCCCAGACCATGGAGGAATGCTGCTTACTGGTTTGCTCCCCTGGCTTGTTCATGTACCTTTCTTATACAACCCATGACCTACCTGTCCAGGGATAGCACCACCCACATTGGTCTGGGCCTTCCTACATCACTCAATAATCAAGAAAATGGCTCACAGACATGCCCACAGGCCAATCTGATAGAGAAAATTCTGCAATTGAGGCTCCCCCTTCCCAGGTGTGTCAAGTTGACACCTGGAGCTACCCAGCACAGGCGGTTAGTGACTTCTGACCTCTCTCATCTTCTGTCTTCACCAGTTAGCCTTCCACTTCCGTGCTTCCCAAGATCCAAGTTGGAAGAAAGATCCCTTGTAACACTCACTGTGGCCCTGCTTCCCTGAGTGGACCGTAACCAACAGATGTAAATTCTGCCACACTTCCATAGAACTGGGATATAATAGAACCCAGATATCTTGATTATTTTGACAGATTGGCAGCCACAGTGCTCTAACAGCCATTAGTTTTTAAATTTGTCATTAATGGCCATGGTAAAATACAAGGGTTTCCAGTGTCTCTTTAATGCAGGAGGATGTTAACTGATCCCAGAGACATGGTGCTCATGCAGGGAGATAGTCCGAGAATAACTTACTTTAAAAAAAAAATCACAGAGCAAAATAAAAAAATAAATTGATCACCTTGAGAATAATAATACCCCAACAACTCTCAAATATTTACAACAAAATTAAAATCACATCACAATAAAAATTTAAATACGTCCCTAACTAAAAAATTTTAAATGTTTTCTTGCAATTATGAATTCACAGCAGCTGCAGTTACCTGCACAAGATCAAGCCAGCCAAAACCCCAGCATAGATGGGGTAGACGATCTCACAGCCCAACCACTTACTGGAGAGCTGTTGTTGGCAGTGGCCAGTTCCTGGGGGAAACAGAATCACTCTGTTTGGAGGATGTGGCCACTGGTAGGTTTCCCACATCCCAGTGGACAGCTCCACTTCCATGCACATATGGGCAGGGCTAAGTGGATTTAGTGGGTAATCAAAGAAAAACAAAGACATGGAGTTGGGAGGAGAGCATGTTGGAGGGAACACGGGAGTACCTTCAGGGGAGAATGGGGGTAGGTGTGATCATGTTTCATTGTGTAAGTGTGTGAATTCTCAAAGAGAAAGAAAAAGTTTTAGAAAACAATTATGCTCTGTAATTATAATCCCTCTAAATTAATCTCCTATATGCATACTGTCAATCAAAGTGAAAAGTTTGATATGAGCCATCTATAAAACATCACAACCTGTGAGACCTTCAAATGGAGCGATTCCATTTGGAAAAGGCCTCATCTCATGTATACCTCATGTGGGGACTCTTACCATGGTGATGATTTGAGGGTGGTGTTGCTTGACCAAGCCAATGATATTGACGCCATTATAATAGAGATTTTCTACACATCCACGAAAATTCTTATGTGGCAATGACACTGATTTTGTAGGTGCTGGCATCCCTCCAAAGCTGATCTTAGAAAGAAAAATGGCATCAATAATGTTGTTTAGTGATTTTATGATAACCTGTTAAAATAATTATGATTAGCAATGATAGCAGTAGCCAGCACACATAGATAAGTTTATCACACCCTGTATGAAAAAATTAAGACACCAATTTTTTAAAAATTTATATACATTTAGCCTCATTTATATGATGGCTTGATTATTCCTCCAATTTGCTAATCATATCTGGTTTTGATATTTATTGCTTAATGAATAAAACTACTTTTATATCCATGATAGAACTTGGTCTATTTAATAATATAACTATTTATGACATTTCACTTTGTATATGTTCCTTGTACACATTGATATTTGAATATCTAATCAGTTGTTAATTAATTCATCTGTTTGTTACTATATTATCCCACATAAATCTGTATTTCGCAGGAATATAATACAAATAAATTAGATTATACTTTCCATGTTTGCTTGTGGTAGTGAGATCTAACCACAGGGGAAAATTTCTTACTTATGTAGTGTTTTGTCCACACAATTAAGGTGAAAGAGTTGTCTTAAGTTATAATGGTGAATTAACATATAATAAGGGATGAAGCCTCAAGTTCCATGTGCTCAAATTTGTTACTATGAGTTGGGTCATCTTGGGAATGCTTGATCAGCCTTGAGACTTACTGTGAAGGTGTGTTTTTGTAGTATATTTTCTCCTAGGAATTTAAACTACATATATGTCATCAACTATGTCTTAATTGAAATGTAGCATCACCACCTCATAATCAAGATCCAGGTAATTGAATTCTCCCTGTGCATGGAAGCGATGCCTGTGTTCGTCCACTGTGAAGTTGACCTGTTTGCCCAGTCTCTGGATGAGCACAGAATGCCAGTGTTGGTCATCCAGTAGGCTGCCCAGGGTAAGGTTGACAGGGGCAGGAATGGAGGGCAGTCTAGCTTCACCTAGAAGATGAAAATAAACAGCCCTGTTATTCCCAGTTAAAAGGGAAAAACGTCTCACCTCAGTACATCAGCATCTCTTACAACACTGCAATGTTCCTCCGTGCACGCAGTCCCGGAACACTACTAGTGTGAATTTACCTAAAGTTGGAATATAATGATTTCTCAACCTTGCTATAATTTCTTCCACTGTTAATTCTTTTTATTATTATTGCCCATCGCATGCTCATTTTCTATGTAAATTTTATGTTTGCTACAACCTCATTATTTTTACTACTGCAATAGTTTTCAACGACCCATCCTATTCTTTATGATGTCAGAAGCAGCATGTAGCTCTATCAGAGTTATGAGAAGAGCATCCAATGAGGGGCTTGTGTAGTTTGCAAACTATGAGCCATTTGGGCATCGGGTATCCATGAAAATCCTTGGAGGTGAAAATAACACACTTTTAAATGTTAGAAAAATAAGATATAAAAGCATAAAGTTGCCTAAGTGAGAAGTAAATGCTCAGATTTTTCAAGCACCGTAACACATAGTTTTACCTGAATTAATAATTAAAAAGAGTTTTCCTCTTCTTAACTCCAATGTAATCAGATCTCCAGTGGGTCCCGCCCTGTGGAGTAGAATCCCATCACTCTGCATGGTTTTGAATTTCAAAGAAATGATATCTCTTATTGGGCTCAGGGAGTTTTGATCAAATCGGTAGAGAAGAGAACTCTTTCCATCAAGATCAATCACTGCTGATCCTAGAGACAAAGATAGCAAAAGTCATTGTATAGGGAAATAGGCTTTTCACTGAAGTATTTTAACACGCTCCGTGTGTGTGTGTGTGTGTATGAAAATATGACCAACAAATATCTAATTCCACTGAAACCCAGCATCAATTTCATTTGAGTTTTTATTAAATATTCACAAAATTCATGACCTAGAAACATATTTTAAATGTATGCCTATCTTTTCTTATTTTACTAAACACTTGTATCACTATAAAAAATAAAATATGAAAAAAGGATTATAATGAATATACATAAATCACTTTATAATACATATTTTACAAACGATCATTTAATAATTTTCTTGGAATGTTTAAATTAAATTTGGAAGAAGGTGCTCCAGAATAAAAAAGGGGTGGTGATATGTCAAAATTCATTCAGATGTGTGCTATGCCATAGATGTGTATTCACAAACACATACATGCACACACACACACACACACACACACACGATTTATAAAATACCACTTCAGGCACATATTAAATTGACCTTGTGTTCTGTCTTATTGTATTATGTTTTTACTACATGGTAGTATTTAAGGACAAGGCTATTTTCTGCCTTCTCAAGGGCATTACTGGAAACACATTAGCTTAATGATATTGTAAGGTCTAGTCTACATGTTTGTGTCACAGCTATGACACCAGCACCTGTATTCAGCTTTCTGACAGTGTCTTCCCTGCTGGCTGTCACGATCACTCTTACTCAGTTCATCTGACAAAAGATGTCATCTTACACTGGTAACATAATAGTACATCTGTCAAAATCAGTTGTACCCGGAAGGTGACACACAAAAGAAGTGATACTACTCAGAAACCCTCACAGTATTTTCTATATTTCACAAGTCAAAGAGTTTTTTAAGGAAATTACCCTTGAGAGCACATTTATGTAATAAATGAAGGGATTACAGAAACCCAATAAAATAGGAAGCTATTTTTCAATGGGTAAGCTGACTTCTTCCAGTCAACAATGTGACATTATAGCTTACTCTTTTTCTTCCATTTGATAAAATTATTATAGCTCCTCATCTGTCCAAATACACATCAGAGTCAGATTAACCTTCTCATCTCATAAACCTCCAACAACCCCCACAACCTTAAATTTCTCACCATTCTATGTAGCTATCTTTGAAAACTCAGAGGCTGGATTTTTTTCACAGCTTGTTAATGTTCTTATAAAGTATTCATTCACCAAGTGCACATGAATAAACATCACATTCTTTAGAAAGAATAATGTTAGCTGAACAATTATTTCTTGTTGTATAGCTGAATGGATGTGTATGGTGGAAACATAACTCTATGTCAAATACAAATGATGTTTTCTAGATTATCAGATTGCAATAAATTAAGAAAAATTTCAGTCAGATAGACTTTAAATGCTGACACATTTGGAGCATTGCAGTTATCTCTGAGTTAATGTATTGCTTAGAGGCAACTATCATAGTAATGATTTTATTTGAAATAAAGATTATTTTTGGAATTAGCTAGCAAGAGATTTTTTTCCCCATAAAAGCAGCCTATGTTACTTTAGCCTACTATTTCTTTTTTCTCTTTTCCACTATTGTTATTATTACATTATAATGGTTATATCCATCTTCCCTGGCACCTAAAGCTTTGAGGCCTGGAATATTTCCATCAGCAAAATAGGGGAGTGAAAAAAAATCTTAGAAAATTGATGCCTTAAGGAACGATGCAATGCTTTATCCCTTAAACTGAAGCCACTTGCCATTTTCTCTGACTCTTACCACTTTCTACCTAACAAGTGCATTACTATGCAGCGCGATAAATTCACTTAACAAAATGAATGTCTGACATATCATGTTGCACGCTGTGATAAGAGAGTATTCAAGGCTAGAATGTCCTCTGCCCGCATGGAGCTTATACACAGGGAAGGTGAACAATGTATAGAAAACAAATAGATAAGGCCATAAGACCACTAAAGATTCTCTCAGGCAAGATGATGTAGAAGACCGAGCGCACCTGTTAAGATGCTGAGAAAAAGTTTTCTCAGGTTTCAAGTCTAGAAACCTCAGGATCGGACAGATCTTCATCAGTAACTTTGCATCTCTCTATAGTTTTCAAATCCCATAACTTCTCCCTGAAAACTAGATTACTCTTGCAACATTTAGTTTCAAAAAGCCGTGGCATTCTCCCAGTATTTTCATGTTCACTGTCATAAAATAAAACTGAAGATTGTTGAGAAACCACTATGACAAGAAATAATTTAATGCTTAGAAGTAGGAGGTATAGGCCCTTCAACAAAGGGTCTCTAAAGAAGAAAGTACAGAAATGCAGAAATCAGCGTAAGGGGGGGTGATCACATCACATATTTCACATTCACGTAAGCAATGCCTTTTGGTAGAAGGAAGGACAGAAAAAAGTCAAATAACATACTTGTAAAACAGAGATGATTCCCATAAGATAAAATTCAGCATGATTCTTAACATTATCACATTAAGCATTATAGAAATTTATAACAGTTCACTTTTCTATTATCACATTTATAAAGTTATTTATGCAAACGTATCAAACATGAAAATAAGATTTTGAACTATCATCACAAAACATTGCTTATGAAACACAAAGCAAACAATATAAAGATCTGTTAACTACTTTCTCTGCCTAACCCACCCACTCTCTTCTCATAAAGACGCTTGTGATTACACTGGGCCCATTTGAATAAAGGAAACCATCTCCCTGTGTAAGATCCATGACTTAATCAGCAAAATGTCTTTTCTGTGTAATGTAACACAATATATTAGCAGGTTTTATAGACTAAAGTCCTTCGGTGGTATACTGGTTACTTTTGTGTCATTGTAACACAAATACAACAAGATAGGAGGGGAGATTTATTGCAGGTCCTGTCTTCAGAGGGTTTCCAAAGCATCATGCCGGCAGGGCATGGCAGAGTTCTGCATCTGTGGCACAGAGTCCTGAGATAGAACTCCTCACACATAGTGAACCAGGAAGCAGAGAAGGTAGGAAAAGCCAGGTGCCTACACTGGTTATTTTTCATCAACTTGATACAAGCTGAAGTCATCTGGGAAGAGGGAAACTCAGCTGAAGAATTTCCTCTGTCTGACTTACCTTTGAGTGAGGTATGAGACATTTTCTTGATTGATGTGTAGGGTAGAAGGGCCCAGCCCACTGTGGGTGCTGCCACCTCTGGGCAGGTGGTCCTGGGTTGCATAAGAAAGCAGGCTGAGCAGAGGCCAGAGGAATCAGCCAGTAAGCAGCATTCCTCATGGTCTGGAACAATATGTAAGCCAAATAAACCCTTTCCTCCCCAAGTTGGTTTTGGTCAGTGTTTCATTACAGCAATAGAAAGCTAACTAATACAGTTATAACCTTCAAAGGCCTGGCCCTCATCACCGACTTCTGCTGTCTATGCCTAAAATTCCCACAGTCTCCCCAAAGCTACATCACCAGTAGTGGAAAAGGGCTCAAAACATGAGCCAGTGGGGCTATCTCATATTCAAACAGCAATAGTGGCATCTTTTTATCTTTATTACAGCAAATTACTTAACCTCTTCATCTTGTTTCCTCGTGCATGAAAAGAGAATAACAATAATATGTTCTTCATGGGTTTGTTGTATGAGTGTTTATCTACATAATAGCAAGTAATCAATAAATATTTATTACTGCTAATGCCAATGCTATTACTTATTGTTAGAATATCGAGCAGGAAAAGATGTGCATAAAAATAATTAAGTACTTTGATGTATTTCTGATTCTTTAAATAATAACGCATTTTTGAAGAGCACCAACAAACAATGCTCTCCACTGTTAGTGTCACTGCCAGGTTACACAGCAGGACTGATTCTGAGCCATCTGTGGGTTCTGCGGCCTTTTCTCTGTCTGTCAGCTTCTACCTGAGCTGGCTCACCACAGCAGTTGCCAGTGACCTGAATCCTCCTCAGTGAATACCTTCACCTCAAATCTGCTTATTTAAAGCATGAATTAAGAATAGAATAAATCGGGGGAGACTACAGGCCCCCATTCAGGGATCAGCTCTCCCTGTGACACCATATATAGTCTGCTTTCTTTATATGATGCAGAAGTGTGAGTTTTCCGTGGGACTGGAAGCTTTCCAATAGAAAATATGCAAATGTCTTTCAGGAGCTGTGTCGGAGGGAATACTTCTGAAATGAGTGCTCTGCTCTCTTTTGTCCAGCATGTGTTTATGGAGAGCTTTCTGTGAACATAGTGGAAGATAAACCAATGCATAGAAACAAAGAGTCCTGGCCTATGGGAAGACACACATTCCTGAGACGCGATTATCTGTGCCTTTGTTCAGAACTCTGCTTCTGGATCCAGGCAATGTCCCCAGTGATGACTAAGATGTGCATGTCCTGCTACAACCTCTGAGAAGGATGCCAACTAAATTTCAGAAATGCTCTGCCTACTCCAGCAGCCCAGTCTCTCTACCTCTGAATATTTCACCTGCAAAACCACTTGCCATTTTGATGTATTTTCCTGTGTCTGATTCTTCCTACCCCACCCTGGCATTCTACTGCCACTCCAAAAGTTCAAGGGTTCTTGAATTTTAAAGAATTGTCACTTTGCAAAGCAATGTTCTCCCATCCAATCCCTCTAGATAGATTACTAACAAAAACATCAAGAATGCAACTCCTTACATTGAGCTCCGTGACCATAATAATAGAAAAAAACTGGACTGGCAAGATGGCTCAGCAGGTAAAGGCACTTGACACCAAGCTAGAGGACCTGAATTCCATCTCAAGAATCCAAATGGAAGAAGGAGAGAACTGACTCCTGCAAGTTGTCCTCTAATCGTCAGACATGCAGGTTACCCACACAGACACACACTAAATAAGTACATATGTTTAAATGTAAACATAATAAACTGAGAAGACTCTTTTTTGGGCTCTGTTAGAGCTCCACTAAATTAGCAATTGTGGAATGTTAACCTGAGATCCAGGAATCTAGGTTAGGTTCCCTCCTGATTCTGAGTAAGA